CCAGAAGATCAGGGGTGTGGCAGAAAGACAGCAGTAAGGAGGAGCCAAGGAGTAGCAGTAGAAAGGCTGCAGAAAGAGTCAGGAGCCCAGAGGGGGCAAAGGAGGTGAGGGGGTGGGGACAGAAAGTGGAAATGAAAGCAGATGACAGAACATTGCTAGAGAGCAGGAAAGAAGGTGAAAGGAGACAATTTTTAGAGAAGAAAATGTTTCGGTCGCTACCCGGATTCGAACCCGGGACCTTTTGAATGAGAGGCCAACACCTTAACCTCTAGGACACGAGAGCCCCCCTTATTATGCTTTAATTTACTTACCTTTACTATAGTGTTAAAAGGACCTATATGCTTTAATCTACTTACATTTACTATGGTGTTAAAAGGACCTATATGCTTTAATTTACTTACATTTTCTATGGTGTTAAAGGGTCCTATTTGCCTTATTTTACTCACACTTACTGTTGTCTTGCAGGGACCTACTGGATGAGGCCCGTGACTACCACCTGATGCCAGAGAGGAGACTCCTCATGCAGACCTTCAAGACTCGACCTCGGTGCTGTACTGATGTGCCCGGCTTTATCTTTGCTGTGGTCAGTGGGCGGGGTTAGGGGAGATTGACTGCTCAGTATAAGACTCAGTCGTATGTCACTTTTCAAAATGGCGCATGGCAGCGTTTTTTTTTTTTTAACCCTAAGCAGTTGAGATGAGGATAAGTGGAAGACAGTGATAATCTCAATAAGGATTAGGGGAAGACATTTAGTCAAGGGTCATCTTGATTAGGATTAGGGGAAGACATTTAGTCAGTACAAATCTCGATAAGATTTAGAGGAGGTGATTTAATCAGTACACATTTTGATATGGTTTAGGGAAGGAGATTTAGTCAGTAGTCATCTCGATGAAAGTTATGGGAGAGCATTAGGATAGTGGTCATCTCAATAATGATTAGGGGGTAGGTGGTTGGAGGGCACCTCTGGTAGGTCTTATTTCTTTACTTTCCTCTTGTTGTTTCTGTCTGTCTGTCTCACTTTTTCACAGCATTAGATCGTCTTCAATGTGTTGATGTACTTCTCTTTACCGTAACTCAGAGGATGAGGGGGGAGCATTTGAATGTGGTCTAACAAGTAGTTAACAACTGCAAAACAGTAGGGGGGGGGGTGATGAGATTGTGGTTGTGAGTGTTTTGAAAAAATGAGTTTTACCCAGTCGAGATCAGCTTGAAAAAGTTATATGACACATAAATAAGGGTCTGAAAATTTGGTGAAATCTTCTTGAACAAAAACAAGATGTGTGTTGAGATGTTTTGGAAAGACCTTTTAGTTTCTTTGTTTATGCAAAATTTCACTGGCTGGAGTTTATTGCAAGCAGAAGGGAATATTATATCATAAGGTTTTGTCTCAGTATTTCACTGTATTTTAAAATTAATCAATTTATTTCTTAATTTTCCTCTGCAGGGCGGTCTAACATCTGCCGGAGACTCACTGAGTACTGTTGAAAGATTTGACCCTGTGAGCGGTCGATGGATTGCAGGGGAACCAATGAGTACCATGCGAAGCAGAGTTGGAGTTACTGTTCTCAAAGGTCTGTATGTTGAGTCTTGTCAGTTCTGTCTGTCTATGTTAGTTTTTGTTTCTTTCACATCTTGATGTTTCTCTCTGACTTGGTGTAGAAAATTCTGATTCTGCGTATATAGAAAGCTGCCAAGTGTGTTATGTGCAGACTGTCTCAAACTTACTATGGTTTAACAGAAATTTTTGTCTGTATTGCTTCCCTTTTTCTAATGCCAAATGATTATTATTATTGTATCGACATGCTTTTTTTCTCAAACTGGAACACAATACTTGGTGGTGGACACTTAGTTTGGAGGTCCAACAATGATAGAAGATTTCTCTTAGTGTGTCTGTGTATATGTTACAGTAAGAATGTGTACCTAGTGAATACGCGTAATCACTGAATATTTCAGTGAAAACGCGTAATCCCTGTTTCACTCGGAGATTTCACGTAATCACTGAAATAATCAGGAATTACGTGAAATCCCTGAAAAATGGTCACAGTAATTACGCGTAATCCCTGATCAGACATGTGTAGTATAATATACTTTTGTAAAAGTTTATTCCTTAAATAGTCAGTTCCGTAACAGACACACACACACACACACACACTCT